CGCTACGGCGTGGAGGCTCTGCTGCACCGGCAGCTCCGCGAGCGCAGGGTCCTGGCCACCGATGGTGCAGCCCAGCAGGTCCGTGGGGACATCCTGGATGGGTCTTTTCCTCTTTTTCCAGGTCCTGGATTCCCCCACATAACACCTTTCTGGGTTTGTTGAAGTTTGTGGGTTTGTGGGTGTTCTGGATCTGTGGTGGCTCCTGGTTTGTGGGAGCTCTTGGTGTCCACACCTTGAATCCTGGGGTCAGTTTTGAGGCAAGAAAGACATTGAGGGTCAAGTTTAGAGAAGGGAATGGAGCTGGGGATGGGGCTGGAGCACAAAGAAGGGGCTGGAAAAGTCCTGAGAAGAGGAGGAACTGGGGGGACTCAACTTGGAGAAAAGGAGGTTCGGGGTATTTAGAGGTTTGGGGATTTTTGGGAGCTCCTGGCTCTGGAAGAGCTCGTGGGTTTGTGAAAGTTCATGGGTTTGTCATGGCTCTCAGGTTTTTGGGAACTCTTGGGGTCTGTAGGAACTCAGGGGGTTATGGAAGTTCATGGGTTTATCATGGCTCTCAGGTTTTTGGGAGCTCTCGGGTCTCTAGGAGCTCACAGGTTTATGGAAGTTCATGGGTTTTTCACAGCTCTTGGGCTTTTGGGAGCTCTTGGGTCTGAGTGACTCCATCCCAGTGCCTAAAGGAGGCTTTATAAGGAAAGGGAGAGGGGAGTTTTTACATAGGACAAGATGGAATGGTTTTAAACTAAGAGATGAGAGCTTCAGGTGGGATATGGGGAACAAATTCTTCCMTGTAGAGGTGGGGAAGGTGCCTAAAGGAGCTGTGACTGCCCCAGGAAATGTCCAAGGCCAGGCTGGACCAGGACTTAGAGCAACCTGTTCTACTGAAAGGTGTCCCTGCCTTTGGGAATGGGATCTTTAGGAGCTTTAAGGTCTCTCCCAACCCAACCCAACCCAACCCATTTCCCAATTCCAGGCACACACCACCCGCTCCAGCCAGCGCTGCTTGGCCTTCGTTGACGACGTCCGCTGCTCCAACCCGTCCCTCCCGATGACCCGGCACTGCCTCACGCGTATCCTTTGATCCTCCCCATGCCATTCCCAGCAGTTTCCTGGCACTTTGCCCTGTGCCTCCTTTCCCTCTCGCTGGCCCTCAATCAAGGCCATCGGTTTTGCCGTAGCCGTTGGTTTCAAACAGGAGCCCAGAGGAAACGCCTCCCGGTCTGTTGGTGCTCCCATTCCATGGAACAGCCAATTCGTGTGGGAGAAACAAAGAACAAATTCRTGTGGCTGCTCCCAGGGGTGCTCCTGCCATGGTTCAAAGCATCCAAACGGGGTGGGAAGGTCACTTGGGAACAGGGCAGATTTGAGCTGTGAGTGATGTGCATGGATCCTCTCCAGGGATGGGGTCTCCACCACCTTTCTGACCACCCTTTCTGTGAAGGAATTCCTCCAGAGTGTGTCCTGCTGTGGCCTCCTTGGTCCAGAGCATCCAAAAGGGGTGGGAAGGTCACTTGGGAACAGGGCAGATTTGAGCTGTGAGGGATGTGCATGGATCCTCTCCAGGGATGGGGTCTCCACCACCTCCCTGACCACCCTTTTTGTGAAGGAATTCCTCCAGGGGTGCTCCTGCCATGGTCCAGAGCATCCAAACGGGGTGGGCAGGTCATTTGGGAGCAGGGCAGACCCGAGCAGGGAGGGTTGTGCATGGATCCTCTCCATGAATGGGGTTTCCATCATCTCCCTGACCACCCTTTCCATGAAGGAATTCCTCCAGGGGTGCTCCTGCCATGGTTCAGAGCATCCAAAAGGGGTGGGAAGGTCACTTGGGAACAGAGCAGATTCAAGCTGTGAGGGATGTGCATGGATCCTCTCCAGGGATGGGGTCTCTACCACCCCCCTGACCCTTTTTGTGAAGGAATTCTTCCTGATGAATTCAGGAATTGCTGAACCTCCCCTGGCAAAGCTTGAGGCTGTTTGCTCTTGTTTTGTCCCTTGTTCCCCAGCTGAGGAYACACTCACCTTGGGGATTTTTGGGAGGATCTGGAGGGGTGGTTCTGAGCCTGTTTGGAGCTGCTGTGGCCCAGCTCA